ATAAGAGGGAAAGACCAACCAATTAATTTAAGTGATTATACTCCTTCTGATTGCATGTTGTTCCGAAAATATTTCTTTAATTTCCCGGTGCTAAACATTATTAGCAATTATGTATTGTGGTGTATGGGTAGCTTAAGACAATTCGAGGTCTAATACGATACCATTAAATTAGGCCCATCTATTTTTAGTATTAGTTTTTTTATTTAAAATTAATTAAATTTTTTATTTTTTATTTAATATTTTTTGTGCGTGAAAGAGAGAATGTGTTAGTGTTATAGTAAAGAGAGAATGAAAGAAAGGTTTTAGCTTTTCCTTTTATGTTAAAATTTTTTTTTCTTTTGTTTTTTACTGGATGGAGAGAGAGAGAGAGAGAGAGTGTCTGCGTGAATGGGTGGGAGGTAAATAAGAGTTATTTTTTGAGGACTTCTTTATTTTAATTTTTGATTTTTGGGTTTCTAATTTTAGGAAAAATTGTACGGAGGTATACAAAATTAGACTTAATTGTCAAAAAGTACATAGTTCTTAATATTAGGTCATTAAGTTCTTATTTTTAGAATTTAATTGTATCCAAGTACATAATTTGACTTTTTGTGATTTTCTTTAGGTTTTTGTTATATTAGAAATCATATATATATATGTGGGGTTTTTTTTAAAAAAAATTAGAAAATTTATTTATATTAAAAGGGTATTCAAGTCTTTTTATGTCTTAAGTGGATTTTTTTAACAAAATATTTTTTCTTATATACTTTTTAAAAATTAAGTCCAATTTCGTGTATCGACTTTCAAATGTCCCATAATGTTATCGATTGGATAATGAACCCAAATTATTAAAATTAAAATTTTTGGGGTCTTTTTGTAAGGTTTACAATTTTCATGAATTTAATTTTCTATGCGGACTAACTATATATTTAAAATTGTGAAAATTGGAAGTGAGTCCCTCTAAATGTACTTGTTTGAAGATAAGTCCTGCAAGGAAACTTATAAGGGACTAAGTCCATATTTAATATTATATGTAATGACTTAAGTCCACTTTTTTTTTTATCTCAAAAATACTCTTCTTTGAAAGGAAGTTAATTTTTTCTTTCTCATATCTATCTATATCTATATATAGGTTAAGAGTTTGACTAACATTAAAAATAAAAAATAGTAGCATTCAAATACAAAAAAAAAATTACTATGAATTTGAATAGTAAAATTAAAATTCATGTTACTATTTTTTTTATTATGTTACTGTTCATGTTACTGCTTTTGTTGAGTATGTTATTGTTTATGTTACTATTATTTTTGAGCGTGTTACTGTTTTTGTTGAGTATACTATTACTATTATTTTTCTAAATATTAATATTCAATGTTACTATTTTTTTTAATATTACTATTTTTTGTATTTGAATGATATTATTTTTTGCGTTTGAATTTGAGAGAAATAATTATTGTTAAGTATGTTATTATTTTTGTTAAGCATATTACTATTTTTATTGAACATGTTAATATTTTTGTTGAACATGTTACTGTTGTTATTTTTTAAAAATATTAATATTGAATGTTTCAATTTTTTTTATGTTTAAATGTTACTATTTTTTATTTTTAATGTTAATATATATATATATATATATATATATATATATATATATATAGATAAGAGAGAGAAAAAATTTTAATATTAGTCAAACTTTTAGCATATATATAGATATAGATAGATATGAGAGAGAAAATATTTTAATGTTAATCAAACTCTTAAAATTTAGGAGTTTTTAATTTTTAATTTTATTTCANGATTGGTCCCTACATTATTTTCAACAATTTCTTTTGATCTATTCTCATATAAAAAGTTCATATTTCATATTAATAGTATTGAAGTATAAATACTTAATTACACCCTCCCAGCAATTTAAACTTTTAGATTAAATAGTTGTTTAACACGGTAAATACTTAAATTACACCCACTACAATAACTTAAACTTTTGGAATAGTACAAAAGGAACATGCATGTATACTTGTAGAGATTCATTCTACTGTTTTTTGTTTTTGAGCTGTATATAAAATCTGTTTTGATTAGATGTGGGAGCTAAATGAACGAAATAAAATGTTTATGCCACGAATTCCTCCCACCCAATGCCTCCCAAGCCCTTCCACACAAAAACAAAATGTTGATTGTGAATCCAAATGCAAGTGAGTTTTAATAAGTCATTGTATAGCCACGAGCTACACTGTGATGAGAATGGATCTGAGTATAAAAATGGATAAGGTAATGGTGGGAAGGGGCATGGTAATTACCACGTAATGTTGGTTAAATAGTACACGTTGTTTGGTTTTCTTGCGATTAGGTTCTTCCAAGGACGTCACGGATAATTTCTTTGCAGGTACATATTGATCATTGACTAGCTAGAGAGGCATTTGGAAGGAAGAAGAGCAGAAAATGATTTGAAAAAGAGGATGGTTGTTGCCTCTCTTTTTCTACAAATACAACTTTAACTCAAAGATATGGACAGGAAGGTGGGAACGCAAACCCCGGGTTCAACCCAAAAAACAAGAAAATAGAGTTAATGTTTATTTTTAAATAAACTGGTTGATGGTGTCAATTTCGAGTTTGATTGAATATGAGTATTTTATATTTATTGTTCGCGTATCAGGTCATTTTCAAGTTCGTGTCAAGTTATAATCAAGTTCATGTCATAAAATTTGTGTCAAATTCGAGTTGTGTCATTGTGTTAAGTCGAAAATTTTCACCCCTAAGATTAAAAAATATTTTTTTAATTTAAAATTTTAATTTTTAAATTAATTTTTAAAATTATATATATATATATATATATACACATATTTTATATATGAAATTAATCTATACATAATATATATGTATATACTGAAAGATATATAGACAAAAACGTATATATATATTGAAAGATATATAGACACATAAGATATATTTCAACATAAATAATTAATTTTCTATTTTTTCACCGTATTAAACGGAATATTACAGAGCTTAGTGGTGAATAAGTGGGAGTGCAATTCAGAGTTCCACCAACACCTGTCCTGGACTCGACCAGACTTCAAACAATTAATGGGTCCGTCCAAGCCAAGAAACGGGAAACACATGAAAATTGGTAGGGACTGGGGACTGGGGACTGGGGACTAGGGACATTACACGAGAATTAGGTGGCTGCTTCATCCATTCATATTCTCCTACTCCTCTCCATAATATAATCTATGCGTTTGTGGTTTTCATAGTCGTTAGTCAACACTTCATGTATGCCGTGTTGTGTTGTGTTGTGGATTCTCAAATTAACAACGTTGAAATTGCCACCCGCAACCCCACCCCCGTAGAAATTCACCAAACGACTTTGACTGATCACTTCTTTTGGACAAGGGCATATTTGGCATCATGCGTCAAATTCAAAAATTCACATGTACCAACCAGGTCCAGGTATCCACCCATATATGGATCGGATCCGTATTATTACTATGCTATTAATTAGAACCATAATAATGTGTCAAGTGAAGTGATGGAGTCCTAATAAAAAAATTCAAGAGTTAACACTATTGAACTATATCATTAGATCAATAAATTAAATTTATTTTTCAGATCTCAATAACATTACTCTTATTATTGAAATCTAGCACGTGACGTGAATAGTCCTCATTACCATTTTTTAGTATTTTTTTTGATGTCCTTGCATTTAATATGCTTGTTAGGTAATTAGAAAGACTTCATTAAGGTGCATGGTTGTTATTCGTCTTCACCTAACAGGAAGTTTACGGGCAGTGGGTTACCGATTGAAGTTGCCAAAGTTATTTATTGAATATATAAACTATATTGACACTCTTATTACTTTTTAAAATTACCAGGGGTACCCTTTTAATTATTTATATATATATATATATATATATATATATAGCACTTTTGCTCTTTTTTAAATTTGGGTTTATATCTTTCCCCCCAAGTATCTCTAATTTGTTGGTAGACTAGTGGTAGTTGATCATTGGAAATACCAACATAAGCTTAATTTTACCAAAATTTTACTCTAAAACATTATGAACAATTTTCACACCATGAAAACTTTGGAAAAAGAACTCCTTCGGCAGGCAAGCGCAACCTAAACCCAAACCCTTTGTGGACACAACATCTTCAGGCACTTACAAGGCTGACACCAGACCCACTACCACAGAAGCACAACCTCACTTCATCGCCACCAGACGAACATGTACACATACAGCTCAACCAACCAAAAAGAAAATGCAAATGGTCATAAGTGATTTAAGTGTTTATATACAAGAAACGGGTAAATTTTGTTTGGTATTTTATTTTTCATATACGAGAAATATGGTAATTATAATTAGACCATAGAGGTTGTTAATATATAATTTCCCTTATGTATTGGTTAACTCGTAATTTACTTGTGTCAACGAACCGAACCTCCCAATACTTACTTAGATAGTAACTTCTTTTTTAAGGAAAATGCTATTTAGATTTTATTTAAGAACCTAATGATGTGACTTTTATATAACTATTAGATTAGTTGTGAGTTCTAATATTAGATGAAGTTCACAATCAATTCAATAATTGTACATCATTAAGTCCTAAATAAGATGTCAAAAAAAATTCTCAAATAAGATAAATATAGCATTGCTTTATTTTTAATAGATATATTATATATTATTATACACCCGGTCAGTTATTTAGTGAATCCGGTCGTAGCAGTCAGGAAATTTCCAAATGGACCTATAACCCGGTCGTAGCAGCCAAGAAATTTCCAAATGGACCTTAACAACCATCGCAGTGGCAAACAAAAAAAAGTGGTGGCTCCCATCCCCACTTTCATAGAAACGGTGTTCACATTCCCTGTTATTCTCTATAAAATTCCGGCTCTGGGATTGCAAATGAAGACCACTACTCTCACATCCTCTCCTCTCAGACGGTTGTGTATTATTATAGGACCATCCCATAATTTTGTTCTGGGTATATATGGCACCACCACCCACCACATCTTTAACGTTCACAGTGAGGAGGCAGAAGCCTGAGCTGGTCGCTCCAGCAAAGGCCACACCTCATGAGTGCAAACTGCTTTCTGACATCGATGATCAGGAAGGTCTTCGGTTTCAGATCCCAGTCATACAGTTCTATGGGAATATAGGAACGGGAGGAAGAGGCAGAGACCCCGTGAAGGTCATCAGAGAAGCTCTTGCCAAAACCCTCGTTTTCTACTACCCATTTGCTGGTCGTCTTAGGGAAGGTCCTGCCCGGAAGCTTATGGTAGACTGTACCGGTGAGGGTGTCATGTTCATTGAAGCTGATGCCGACGTCACCCTCGACCAGTTCGGCGATGCCCTTCAACCTCCGTTCCCCTGCTTGGAGGAGCTTCTCTACGATGTTCCCGGCTCCGGAGGGGTCCTTAACTGCCCTTTGTTGCTTATTCAGGTA